CCTGCTCGGCAGGTCAATAGCCACATCTGTTTTGAGGAGAATGTACTTCTTGGAGTTGCTAGCAGTCACCTCCACATGGAGACTATCTGAGGTGTGGTTGATGAGTTTGCCAGCTATTATAATTTCAGAGCCATTGAAGTAGTTAGGGAAGAAGTTCTGGGTGACTTGTTCCACATTGTCTTCAGGGTAGTCAACACGGATATCGGAGAGAAGAGGCGTTCCTATTTCATCATAGAACCTTAAACAAAGACACATTTCTCACCATTAGTACTATTCATCCAAGCGCATGCATGCACTCTTGCACTTACACATGGCCATGGATACAGTCAGACTGTCTAATATGGCTCCTAAGACATTCAAGAGCACTTAGAGCTATGAGGCCCCAGATTTAACTACTGCTTCCATTGTTAATTGGCCCAGAGAGATGGGGGAGTCTCTACCCTCAGAGGTTTTCAAAGCTTAAGTGGACAAGGCCCTGAGAAACCTCACCTAAATTTGAAGTTAGCTCTTCCCTCAGCAGAAGGCTGGATTACATGACCTCCAGAGGTCCTTTTCAACCAAAATTATTCTCTGCCTCATTTTAGTTTTCAGTGTTTCTCAGGGATCTAAACAGAGTCTCTTAAGTATGTTCAAAGCATCCCAGCATGGACTGACAGTCACCTAACTTCCACTATGATTCCAGACCTCTGCAAGGAGGTATTTGGGATCATTTAAGTTTGCTTAAGAGGACCTGTCCATTAAATGTAAATTCTTGGCTTCTCAGGCTCACAGAAAGCATCCTAGTTATTTCAAAATGTACTTAGAGGAGATGCTGTTACTTACAGTTTTCTAGTAGGTTTATGCATGGTATTCCAGGGCCAGAAACTGTAAGACCAAGATGCTAGGTCCTCCAAAGCTGGAGAGATCTGAACCAAGACTTCTGTATCACTGGAAGAGCCCTAGATACTACCATTTGGGATGGTCAGTGTGGGACAGGCAGGAATACAGTTTTCCGAGGCCCGAAGGTGAAAGAAAATAAAAAAGGAATCTCACTATGCCCCCATAAACGAGGACATTTCCAAGGAATGGGGGAATCCTAACTGCTAAATACAGGCAGCCTGGCAGAAGAGAACTCACTGCTATGTCATTGCGGATGTTCTGTTGGACCAAGACATGGCTTTCGTGGAACCAGAGAGCTTAACCCAATAACTGCTTGCTACCATGACCTACCATACTTCTGAGAACACCTCGCACTGGACAGGCCAGAAAGCCTTTCCAAGGGATTAAGACCTAGTTTACAGTACTGTGTTTTCCCTGCAGCCATGTGCTTTTGATGGATCTTTCCAAGCTGCTCCGAGAATGCCATATTTCCCATTTAAATGCCAGACTCCTCATCTCTTGGCAAATCATTTGAGTCTAATTCGGTAAATAAACAAAGAATTGGCCTCAGCCCTTTTTTAGTTCAAGCTGCATTTATTTTTCACATCTGCTTAAACAGATTGTCTGGAAGCTAGAGTCACACTTTCTGTTTTATTATCGCTCCAAGGAAACCCAAAGCCTGAATTGGTTGGATTTATTTCAACGTCTCTCTGAGCACTCACTGTCTGTGATGTAGACACCTCGATGCATTTTAGAACATGAGTGAATTAAACCTGAGAACTTTCTGTGAAATAACTCCTAAGGTATAACAAATAGTGGAGTGATGGATGCAACCTGTCTTATGGAACAATGCAAGGAAGTATCTGTGTAGAAATACAACCCGCTGACCACAAAAATCAGAAATGACATTGGCACCCATGTAGATTTTCCCTCCAACAGAGATTCGAATTGGCCTCCGGCAAATGATTATGCTTTTCTGTGTAAATTTGGCACCAGATGCCAAACAGGTTTGCCATCACTGAGCTTGATAAACAGTGAGCTGTTTATCAGATAGAGGTGTTTGAACAAGAACTTTGAGTACTGGGTTCCTGCAACCCAATCAATCAGAACATCCTTAATTTGCCAAGGAATGCCACTTGCTATCCAAGATGCATATTCTGAGAAGCAAATAACATGGGCGAAGTGGCAGATGGATCTACAAAATCTGGTTTAAAACTAAGACACTCTTGTCCGTGCATAACCACCACAGAAAGAAAAGCTCTAGTGGAAGGTGCACGGTCTCATTGCTCCAGATGAATTAGACACTAGCTAGGCAAGAGGTCTCTGCTCAATGACAGTCTCTTTTTGGTTTCTGAGGTTCAAAACACTAGCATTTGGGGAGTGAAAGCCAAACGTTTTTGCCTGGAAGTACTGACACACTGCCTGACATTTTAGACAGAGCTGTGGTTGAGATATCTTTTTGCTGTTCCTCACTCTGATCTGCCCTTGGACTACAGCTCCCTGATCACAGAAGAGGAACATAATCGTACTAGATGATGAGGATTACAGGAAACTTGTTAGGAGTTTGGGTCACAAAGAATGAGGGAATGAAGTAACTACATGATCCTCTCAGGAATGATGCTTGTGTTATTTTTCAAAGTCAAATATTTTGAAGTTTGGGCATAAGGTTATCTTTGTCAAAAAATAAAGAGATTATTTTCTGCCCTAAACTAGGATCTCAATTCCTGAAACCTTCCATGCTGTTTATGTTGTCAATTTGAAGCGAGCAATGCGTCCTTTCCTCCCTCCGTCCACCTGCGAAGAGGTGGCCCTCATGCCTCCCATCTCTCCAGGTTTACATGCCCAAAACAACAATCTGAATTAGAGAAACAAATGCCTTGTTCTGAAGGGCTGGGAAGCTCCAGTACAGCTCAGGGGTCTGCTAGGAAGGAGACAATTTCTGGGTAGGCATCCTCAGTATCTGAGCATACTCTGCCTCTCTCAACCAGAGTTGAGCCTCAGACTCCCATCCCTTGCAATGTCTCCTTACAGGATTTTCCCTCCCAAAACCCTTGCCCAGAGGACCCAATGCAGATAGAAGCACAGAAAAAGCAGAACAAACCCTTTCAGGTGGCTGGCTGCATCCTCATCCTCCTGGAAATGCCTCGTCATGCCACAGTTCTCCAGTGCCATCCTCTCCAGCAGCTTGTGGTCCACATCATTGCCAATGCCGATGGTGAAGAGGCAGAATTTATCACGGATGGCATCCTTGGTGTTGCTGAGGATTTTGGACGACTGTGTTTCCCCGACAGTGGGCCTCCCGTCCGTGAGGAAGATGATCAGAGAGACACTCCTGGCATCAATGTCGTTTTGAGCGATGTAATCATTTAGCAGCTTTGCACCAGTCTGGAGAGCACCGTTAATATTAGTCCCTGGGAAGGCACCAAAATTATTAGCTCGTTTCTGCTTCTAAGAGTGGTACAAATAATTTCCCTAAGCTGCCTTTAGTATGGTGACAGCATGTCTCTCCATCAGGATGTTACTTTTCTCTACATGAGGTTGCACTAGCACTTCAACGCAGTTCAACTCTGTTACTCAGCACCAGTTTGAGACAAGTGTTTATAGTCTTGTGAATTGGATTATGAATTGCAGTTTATTATGTGAAATTGCTGTATCCTTGAGTGTCTCAATGTACAGTAGTCAGTTCTGGTAAGCAGAGTCACAGCACAATACCACCTGCTGGTGCATACAAAACCAGTTAAACTTAATTAGAGGCTCTCCCAGATGGTATCTGAACTGGGAAAACAAGTTCTGCTCATTTTGTCTGAAGGGCACAAGATTTGAAGAGAGAAAAAAAGCCTTCAAATGGGAAAACAAGTGGTTGGGTTTAGTTCTTCAAACCCCGGGGGCTAACAAATTTTAAAGGGAAGAGAAATGGCTTTGTTAGCTGAGGAATGTGTTTTCACAAAACAACTGGCTTGTGAAGAATGGAGCTGCCTGAAGTAGGGATAGAGGGAGAAAACAGAAAATAAATGAGGGAATAGATGTACTTTAGAAGAATAGCCATGAAAAGGATTCAAACCTACTGCATGTTCAGAAAAAAACAAAGCAGGAAAATGAATACAGGTTTCTCCTTGCTCCATGTATTTTTTGTGCTAGTCAGAGCAAAGAGGGATTGGTTGTGAAACCTTTGCAAGATCAGTAGATCTGGGTTAAAAACAGCTCTCGGACAAAAAGCAGGTGAAATGTGTTAAGAGCCATACACAATAGAGTCCTCATAGGGGTCCATAAGAGGACATCTAGGGAGGTTACCAGCAAAGATGTGCTAGTACGTCTGCCAATGCATCATGTACCTAGAAATTTAGTGTGCACAGCTCCAGTGACTGCAGCAAGATGAGGAACAGGAAAGGGGTTAAGACTTCTGAAAAATCCTCAAAATCCACACTGCATTTTTGCAAAATGGTTTTGAATCAAAACCCTGCACCTAAATTATAGAATCATAGAATGGTTTGGGTTGGAAGAGACCTCAAAGATCATCTAGTTCCAAACCCCCTGCCATGGGCAGGGACATCCTCCACTACACCAGGTTGCCCAAAGCCTCATCCAACCTGGCCTTGAACACTTCCAGGGATGGGGCATCCACAACTTCTCTGGGCAACCTGTTTTAGTGCCTCACTGCCCTCATAGTGAAGAATTTCTTCCTTTTATCTAATCTAAATCTACCCTCATCTCCTAATACTCTCTCAGTCTCTATGCAGACCCAAAATTTCAGAACAATTTTTTTTTCCCTCAGAAACAAAAGAAAATCATTTCATGTGGCAGATAGTGTCATTTCGAATCCAGCCACATCAGATCTACCAAGCACTGAAAACTGCCTTTTGCCACATGCACAGATATTTAGCAGCAATATTTTGTTCCCATTTCTTTGGTGTGTGAGTGTGACACAGCTGTGTAAGCACAGCATGTTCTTCATGTGTGTCATCTATGCACCTGACTATGCTGGCCTGTCGTGGAGAATCACTTCACCTTCCTGTTGAACCTGAGTTAATCATTTCCTTTTACTTTTGTTCTCTGGCAGGTTCATGGGCAAACTGAGCTGGTTCCTGCACAGCTCTTTTGGCACTTGAGGAGTAAAAAGCTTTGTAATCTGAGTTTAGTTCCACTATTGGTAATTGTTTAACTGGGCAGGTCCCTTGACCACTTCCTAAACTCTTCCTCTCACAATACAAACAGTACAGCAAACCATCCTGTTTGCTGTGGTTTTCTATCAGGGGGTTTCCTTTGCTAGGAGTGGTCACTGCTCAAGGGCAGCCATGGGAAGACCCTGTCTGACCTTCAACCAGCTGTGACTGCTTGCATGGGGAAGGATTTGCGTAGGTCGTTCTGCAGCGCTCTGCTTACCTGAGGAGTACTCAGCTAGGATGGGCAGAGCTGCCAGAGTAGGTTGGGTTACAAACCTCACTAGGTTTTTATGTACAAGTGCCCATAGCCTCATAGGACACCACTGAATCAAGTTCAAAATCATGCCTGCACTCTGCCACTGTTCTGAGGTCTCCTCCTCTCCCTGCTTCACTTCTGGCAACAAGGCACAAGCAAAAAGGGACAAGACGTTCTTAAATGTCATTCTGACTGTTCCCTGGTAGAGGCAAGAAGACAGTACTAGGTGAGAAAACAGGTCTTGCAGAAGGCAATCCCACAGCCCACACTGGGTAGTCCATCCCTGGAGTTTCCAGCCCAAACAAAATCACGTGCCAGCTTTTACACAGGCTTTCAGAAACTGTACAAGTACTAACCCTGTGTGTCCTTCACCAGGATATGGTATATTTTCCTATGTCCTCAAGAAATAACCCTGGGAACTTTGCCACTCTGAAGGTCTCACCAGATAAATGGGAGAATGGGCCCAGTTGGCTTTAATAACTATGTCAGGTCATATGACTGGATCTGGGGACACCTTCCCATCATGTACACTGATAAAAGGCACATGTCATTCTGTCACATAACCCTGAATGGAGGCAGGGAAGGGGCCCCCTTGTCCCATGACCTAAGTCCCAATGTCTTTTTATCGCTACATGCTACAGGACCACATTCACCACTCTTCACTCTGGTGTAGTTAGTTGGACAGCAAAATTAATCCCGCTCGTTTCTCTGGATCGTACCTCCAGTAGGCGACATGTTATGAATGTACTTTTTGGCATCTCTTATATTATTTGGAGTAACTGGCACCAGCCGGTCCTGCTGCCAGACCTTTATTCGGTTGGAAAAGCCAATGATATTGAAGTGGTCTTCAGGCCTTAGGTCCTGCAGAATTGTGAAGAGAGCTTCTTTGGTCTAGAAAGAGAAGAGAAAAGAGACCGGTAGGCACAACTGTCACTGCTTCAGCAGGCAGGAATTTAATTCTTAAGATGTTTACTGATCTTACAGATATTTCTACACTGACAGTTTGGCTCATGAAGAAGACTGGGGTGTCCTTCTCTGTCTCAAGGCCTGATCTCTGTGGTGCCAGGTGTAAATATAAGACGAAAGAACAACTCTTGCCCAAAAGATCTTGCAAAGATGTGAGACATGCCTGGATCTAACTAAACTTAAAAATCAGGCATGACAACTAGGACTGAGTGACTGAGAGAACCATGACTTGAACTAAAAGTTACTGAATAACGTTGACTAATACTGAAAGCCTCGTGGATTTCTTCTAAAGCCCTCTAGACTTGCAGTAAGCTGTAAGTGGCATATGGTAAAAAGGTTACTTACAAGTTGAAATACCTCTAAATATGTCAAGGATGCACATGCTCTGTTCGTAATAGATACTGATTGGTATATACATACTCAATGAATAGTTCCAGCAATTAACAAATGTTTAAGCTAATATGTTCAAATGAATAAGCTATAAAAAGGAGCCCTGACTAGACATTGCAGATTCTACCTGCTAGTCTGTTTTATCCCAGGCATGTTGTTTTTCCCGCTGTATACCAGCATTATCCCACCTGGAGTACTGCGTTCAGCCCAGGGGCCCCCAACATAAAGAGGACATGGAGCTGTTGGAGGGAGTCCAGGAGGGCCACGAAGATGATCCGAGGGCTGGAGCACCTCTGCTATGGAGACAGGCTGAGAGAGTTGGGGCTGTTCAGCCTGGAGAAGAGAAGGCTCCGGGGTGATCTTATTGCAGCCTTCCAGTACTTCAAAGGGGCCTACAGGAAAGCTGGAGAGGGACTTTTGACAACGGCATGTAGTGGTAGGACAAGGGGTAATGGATTTAAATTGAAAGAGGGCAGATTTAGATTAGATCTAGGGAAGAAATTCTTCCCTCTGAGGGTGGTGAGGCACTGGCACAGGTTGCCCGGAGAAGTTGTGGATGCCCCACTGGAAGTGTTCATGGCCAGGTTGGATGAGACTTTAAGCAAAATTGGAACTAGATGATCTTTAAGGTCCCTTCCAACCCAAACCATTCTATGATTCTATGACTATATTGCTCTGCTGTTCATCATGCTATGTAAATATAGGCAACTAGAGTGAGGAAAGCTGGTATCAAGCTAAGTTCACAGTGAGAGAGTTTAAGGTTCCTGAGTGACAGGAAAGACAGACCACTGAGGCTAAGTCAACAGGAATAGTGCAGATGTGTCCAGTACTCCCCAGTGTGACCAACTTTGCTTTAGCAGCCATGTAGCTGTGTTCGCATGGAGACAAGCTTCGGCTTAGTAAGACCAGCTGAGAGAAGATGCCCAAGAACAGCCTCTCTCCATGCACACATACCCTATATTGAGATGCAAAACACATGAGAGGAACACAAGGCAATATCTGTAAGCAGCAGGATCAGCACCTTCTCAGCTCTGTGTCATCTTGGCCACCATTAAGACTTCCAGATTCCAAGGAAAGCTAGGCAGGAAATAACATGGTGGACTCATCAACATTTAAAGGTTTCTTTCATGCCTATCAGGGAAATATGTGAAGGGCTTGTCCAGAAAAAAATACAAAAGGTAATCAGCAGTGCTGGAAACCACATGTTTCTAGGCCTGATGTTGCTATGTAAAGACAGTTTGGAAGGGAGCTCAAAGGACTGATCAAGCTGTGTCATCGATATCCCTCTGGATTCTGCATTGAAGCTGATGATGCAGTGATGCAACTGCAAACAAATTACCCACTGCAGTGGAATCTCTAATCCTCCCAGCTGGTGACTTGGCTTCCAGTTCATCTGAAGTAAAAGGGAATATTTCCCATCATTTCAAACATTTTGGAGCCAGGTCTGAAGTCCCTCTCTGCCAGTTTCTGTCCTCTGTATAAACCATTTTCCTCTGTAGGGATCACAGGATTCCTCCTTCCATTTGCTTAGCTGGAACATTGCTCCACATCTCACCACCATGCCTTTTATGACTATTTCATAGATAAGAATACTAAATGAAATGCTGGTGGAAGAGGCTCTGTCAAAGATGAGGAGAGAATCCCACTAGGTTCACATCATGATGTGCACCAAATAGGTGCACAGTACCTGAAGGGGGCCTACAAGAAAGCT